ATTAATTCTCCTGAATTATAGCTAATTTCAGTTATTTAAATATTAAGTTGCTTTAAACGTTGCTGTTTATTATTACATTAAAAGAGCATTTCTGGTTGACCGCATTGAGTACCTAATCAAAACATTCAGAATCCATGTTCAGGGACATAACATTACCAATGACAGTAAGATAGTTTAAAAGAAAAGGTAAAGCTATCCCTGTGACAGGCTATGAAGGCCCATAGGGTTGTGAGCTGTTGAGACTCCCACATTTTTCTAGACAGTTGGCTGACAAATTGTGAGGTTGTCAGTCCTACATGCTCCCTTTAACCCCCAGGAAGTTTCCTGGTACTCATTTCTCTTAGAGGCTGAGCTGACCCCAGGGCCATAGTGCGGCTGGAAGGTTAGGTCAATTGAAAAATCCAGTGATTTCATTGGGAATGAAACCTGCTACCTTTCAGCTTGTAGCATTCATTTATTTATTGTATATTCCATAAATCCATATACATAGATATAGAACCAGTCACATAATTAATATAGTACAATACAAATATAAATATATATGTACAGTTTATAATCATTAAAATAGATTACAAAAATATTTGTGCCCCAACCAATTATGCTACTGTGTGCCCCAGTAAGTTAGTAAAAATAGAATGATGTAAAAATATTATGAGGCCTTTTGGTAGAAAATTTCCCTCTAAATACTGATAAAGGTAAATTCAACATGAATTTTTGCGAAATTACTGGTACATTTATAGGAATCAGAAAACTTGTATAATAGGTAGACATTAAACAAATTATGGATTATTTTACTGTCCCTGTCTTCTTCATTTTCTGATACATGTAAAAATGCAACTTACCTCTTTCTTACTGCAGACTTAACAGAGAAGACCAAAGGATATTTTGGAATTTGCTCCATATCCTTACCAATGCATATGGTAGCCACATGCAAGTATTGTGTTATAGTTTCTATAAGGTGTTTGAATCCTTAGGCCCATTATTTTTTGTTACATGAATGCACTCTCATTTCTTAATTTGAGAGTTATTCCTTATATAAAATTTCAGATACTGTAATATACTGTGATATGACAAGGAAAGCCCTCATATCCTGAATGACAAATGAGTGCTTCTACATCACTAAATATTTATCCTCACTGTCAAAGAATTTCAAAACTCACAACGTTGAAGGATTTCAGTAGCAAGACATATATAAATCAGTTTCAAATGCTCTATTTTTATGGTGAAGTAAAGTATTGGCATCAGAAATATGTATCCAGAATGAGGTTAACTCATGAAGATCTGAATACTGCATAACTGGGTAACTAAGGCTGAAATATGAAGAGGAGGAGGAACCACATCAACATTATAGTTTAAAACTCAGTGTTTAAATGAAGATTGAAGGTATTTTTATACAGCATTGAGACAGTTATTGAAACATGCTATGCTAGTCAGATAGGTATGTCTAAAACATTAGTTTTCTTTCTTGGATTAATCGCTGTGTGATGTAGTTAAATATTTTCATGAAATACCATAGTGGGTTCAAGCTCTTTTCGTGAAAGCCTGTAAGAAAATAAGCAGTGGGACCACTGAATCGGAGCAATATATCATGTATAAAGAAATAAATAAACAGATAATTTATCTGCATTTTTTATGATACAATTAAAATTACATTGAATTTATCATGATGGTATTATTTAATTAATATCAGCATTTCTGCATTGTATTATCCAAAGAACAAATGAATAATATTTCAGATTTTATCAGTAAATATGGTGTTGCAATAATGCAGATACTTATTACAGTTTCTTTGTGAGGAAACATCATCATCATTTATTTACATGTCAAAAATCCTTCACAAGGTCATAAGACTCAGGATATAGACAATAGTCCAATATAACAATTAAATATAATAATTACAAAAAATATAATACGTGTTAAAATATTTATGTAAACATAATTTTAAAATCATAAAATTTGTAATTTAACTTTTCATTAATTATGTATATAATTCCAATGAAATCAATTATCAGTCTTCTTAACCCTGTAATCAAAAAATTCATCAATACCATAAAATGAATGTAAATGGAGAAATTGTAATAGTGCTTTCTTGAATCGATTTTTGTTTTTGGATAATTGTTTTATTTTGTGTGAAAGACTATCATAAATTTTGATTCAAAAATACTGTGGACCTTTCTGAAATGCTGTTAGATTTGACGAGGGGAGATGCAAATTTGAACTATTTCTTGTTACAGTTGTATATATATCTGAATTTTCTGCAAATAAATCCATATTATTAACTACAAACATCATCAAAGAATATATAACAGATATATAACAAGAATAAGAATATATAACAGAGGGTTATGTCATAAAATCTCCATATTCACTGTGATGTTGCAGTCTTTCAGTCTGTTAGTGTTCACGTCTGGTCACCTTACATAGGCAAAGCACTTTCAGCAAAGCTATGACCACATCTTCAGTCTGCACCTGTCCATCTTATTGGAGTAGAAAGGTACATGCTTGCTTCAGCTGTCAGCTATTAATCACGTGTAATGGAAGTTTAACCCATTTATAACATTCTCTTGTAAGACTTAAAATGTTTGTAGGCTATATACATTGAAATTGTAATTTAATCAAGTAATATCTTTGAATTTACTGCATTTCAGTATCATTTAATCATTAATTCTTTCTGTAAGTGTGTTGTAAAGTGTTTGTTCTGCACTCATGTATATAACATTATAAAGTAATATTGAAGTTGACACAATTTTTGTAATGTTATAGATGGGTTTTAGCAGTGTAGTTGTAATGGGTTTCACATAGTGGTGTGTTAGGCTTTGTTTGTGTACAGTGATAAAATGATCAAGCCTAGGAATTTATATTACTTCTAGTGAAAAGCCACTTCTTTCATTAGAAAGATATATTGCTGCCTTACTTACAGTTCACATCTATTTATTAATTACTAATTTATTGACAGAAATAAACAGCATATGAAGTCATGATCAAAACTAGACTATTGTCTGCATTTAAAAATTTTCATTTGCTGATATTTTTATTTTACATTTAAACCTATTTTAATAATACATATACTTGAGGGCAGGCACATCCTTCGGACAGAATTATATTCTCCTTAATAGTTTAGTATTAACCAGTTGCAAAATGAGTTTGCTGGAAAAAGAGAAGCCAAACATGTGCATATAAACATAAAGTAACATGCTGTATTTATAATGCCAATTTTGTAGAAAAGCAGTGCTTTAAAAGGGTCTGTTTCTACTACACCACTGAATCTATCTTATGCAAATGTTATATTATTTATAATTTGTCGTACGGCAATTTTAGACAGTTGAATTAGCCCAGATAATTGTATTTCTTTAACCTGTTGCACCAAGGAAGAACAGTACTCATAAAATCATATTCTTGTAATATGTAAAATGGCTATAATGCTTTTAATTTCATTGCGTAGTTTTGTTTGTTGAGTAAATAATTGACATTCTCTGTGTGAAGAAGAGTCATATATGACCACTGTTTAAAACAACAATTTGACTAAACAGTACACAGTAAAACAACTGAAAATTTTAGATCATTTAAATTACAAAGCTGGTAAGTAAGAGGTTTTACAATGTCTTATTTTTCTGTATTCAGTTATTCTCTTTGGAAGGAATACTTTTTAATCTTTAAATTACCATGCCATATGTTTATCTTGAATTGAGTGCATATCTGTAAATGAACATATGGTCAAAACTCAGTGAATATGGCATGGAATAAGATTCTGAGTTGCACACAACAGTTCATAATAGATCAAGTTGATAACCAGTCATAACAATGAATGCTTATGGTAATGTGTTGGATATCTTTAGATTTTTATCATTGTGGTTACTGCGATGACTTTTTACATCTGCCTTCTTTTCCATCTGAATATTTCCAAGGAAATTAAGTAGGTGATGGAACATATCTTGATTCCTGTAATTTACTGTACCGTTCTTGGCCATAAAACTGCAATTTTCCATTGGTAGTGTCCTCTCATTGTGAAAATATATAGGTTTTGAAATAAACATTCTTTTATAGGCTGAAGCATTTTTTTTTTCCATATCATACATCTTATGCTGAGCACATGAATCATAGTTTCCATAGATACATGACGGAAGCTTATTTTAACACCTTTATTGTAATAGTTCAGAAAGTTACACATTTTGGCATCAATCATATGCCATCACTAGACTTTCCCAATTAATGTATAGAGAGGAAGTTTCACATGTTATTAAGTAGTGTTGCTTATGTGCTATGGTGGTTAACTATTTTGTTTACTCTTGTGCTAGATGGTAAAAAATATATGAAAGTGCCTGTAACATCTGATTGTGTAAAATTTGAATACAATATGATCACAGGGGTTTGCAGATTTTGTAGAATCTCAAGGTTGACGCTCAACTCTTGAGCACATCATTGTCAGTATCCTCACTACAAGACAGTAGAGCAGAACAACGTAATACTTTAGCGTGCAGATAGCTTGCAGGCAGCTCTTACATACCACACATTAACATCACCAAAGACATTCACTTAGAGACTCTATAAAATACCTGCTCCGCTGAGGCATTGTTTGATTTTATTTTTATTTTATAGTCAGTCTTAATAGACACTTTTAAATGTGTTTTACCTTTTTGTACAAGACCAAACAGAAAAATAACTACCTTAGTCCTTAAAGCAACACTTCTTAATAACATGTCAGACTTCCTTTTTACCCATTCTGTTTGAAAAGATCATATGATGGTGTAATATTGACACAAACATGTAACCTTTTGAATTATTACAAATAAAGTTGTTGTTTAACTGAGCTTTTAACATGTGTTTTATATGTGCTTGACATAATGGAATGTAAATATTAAAATTGAAAAATAACTTCCATGTCCAGAGACTCTCAGGTCCTTGTATACTGTAGATGTAATTTTGAAAATCAGTAGAATGCAAATATCATAGTGTTCATTTGCTTTATATCTCTTGATATAAGTTTGTGTTTCTACCAACAGGCCAATCATCTTTGGGATATGATTCTCCTCATCAGAGGCCACCGAGATATGTCAGTCCACCAGCAGTACAGCGCCCACCGTGGTCTTCCGTGCATTGCCATGGTACAAGTATGAGGTCAGCAGGATCTCAGGATTCACAAGTATTCTGGACTTTACCAGCAAGAAGACCTCAGTATCAAGAAACTGACAATAATATATCAATGAACAAGCAAGAACTTGATTACCAGCATAGGAAACGGTTCAATACCATAGCGACAGCTGGAAGTGGTACAAAAATAAATCAGAACCAGTCTTATGTTCACTGTGATGACAGGCCGCAGTCAACAGCTATAAGTTGTTATGGAGGTCCTTCCTTGTCTGTTGGTGCTTACCAGTCTAGTCAGCATAAGAGTTCTCTTCCTGTAAATCGGAATGTGATTCACCAGAATCGTGGGCCTTTTCAAGGTGCAGTGTATTCACAACTGCGACCAAAATATCCAACTCCTGTCAGCATTCCAAATATACCCAATAATGAAAGGGCATGTGTACAGAGCAGCAGTGGAAGAACCTACAATTCAAATTACTATCCTAGTGCTCCATTATGGCAAGATTCCCAGAATGGTTTCTGTTCATCTACACCTACAAAGGATAGGACGGCATCACTCTTGCAAAATGATTCTACATTGATGTCCTTTGGGACAACATTTTCACCCATTGAGAAATATTCTCGAAAGGAAGAAGTAGCAAGGCATTCTTCAATAACAGATGGGAACAGATCCAATTCTAGAGTCCTTAAAATGTCTCGTGAAAGTAAAACTGATGTACCAAAACTTGTTTCAGTACCCAAAACATCAATGACATCTGAAGAGATCTTTGTTGCTATCCATAAATCAAAGAAACGGCTGAATATCAAGACAGATTCTAGTAGCTATGGCCGCAGTCATTCACCATCGTGTTCTTCCCTGACCAGTCTTTCACCTGGAAGTTCGGAGTCATCTATCCATGGCATTGGGGGAAGCAATACACCCATTAAAGTAGGTCCAGAGACTGGATCATTTAATGATGACAACTCAGCTGGAAGTAGACACAGCTGGTCTCCAAATTCAGGAGAATACTTCGATTTCTATAGTCGTTTTGAACGTAGAACTCCTTCCCCAGTAACATCCCCTAGTTCCAGGCAAAGCTGGGCATGTGATAGGCTAGGCCCTCGGCAACACACTTCTAGGAATGATTTCAAACGTTTATTATTACAGCAGGGAGCAGTAGGATCTGGCAATTCAGGTGGAAGGATATCAGCTGTGGAGCAGCTTAAACTGACAAGACAGCAAAAACAAGGAACTCTTCCTTCAGGTGGTACAGTTAGTAACAGTTACACACCAAGAAGTCCTGCAGAAAAAAGAACAGGTACTTCCAAACTGCTTCAATCTCCACGGTCAAATACGATATGGAGATTTGCTTCACCCAGAACAGATGTCCTCTCCTCCACAATACTGGAAGATTGTGCAGAGGAAGAGGATGCATCTAATTCCCCTCAACACTCCCAACCAACTCCACAACTGCCACCAGCAACATCAGATAGTGCTGGACATTCTTCAGTACAAAGACCGCTGAACTTATCCTTTGACAAAACTGGTAGACATTCCCCTAACAAAGACATAAATCAAGACACGAAACCTCTTACTTCACAACAAACCCAAAGGGAATCATCTCCAAGAGCAGCCATGAAAAGCCTTGTCAAAAATTCAAATACAAAGAATCTTCTCACTTCAGAGACAAATACAGCTCCCAAAAATACCTTTTTGCCTAAAGTAAGCAATCTTAAAAATGGTAGCTTACTGTCTCCAGAATTGTTATCCCCATCAAATGTGAAGGAGAACGTGAACACCAATTTGCAGCCCTCAGGCGTAGTGAGCACAAATTTAGGTGGTACAGCAGCCAAGAGTGCGACAAGTCTTAATAACCACCAGCCAATTGGTCATTTGATACTGCAGTCACCTTCTCATCGAATCAATATGCTTCTTGCCAGGCAGAGAGTTCATCAGTACTCCAGTCATGGGACTACTGCAAGGTCCATCCTTGGTGCTCTGACAGCTTCAAAGTCTCCACCTAAGGCAACTCTCGAAACTGCTCTGTAAATTATTTTAATCCTATTTATCATAAAACTCTTATTTCACATACTAATAATTAAAGTGTAGGATTCTCATTAAGTGAGTCCCCAACTCATATTACCTACCTGTATCATGGTTAGGTTAAAAAGAGAGACTTTTTGGAATACAATTAAGATGTATGATTAATTATCAGTAAGCGGCTTCAAAAGTCTAAAATTCTTACAGTCCACCATAATTTTTATGTTTTTGTCATTTTTTAAAATTTGAAGTATAATCCATTTGTTAGACAAAACGGTTCATTTAGCACTTCATTTTAGAAGCATATATATATCCAAAAATTTTGCCATGTATATTTTGAAAATATATATCAGCATTGAGAATTAAATGTAGCTGTACAACATCTGAACATGGCAATGTTTTAGATAAATTAAAACACAAAATTTGGTGTTATAATGGTTTGTGAGTCTCTGTGGCTGTGTCTTCTAAGCTTATATTCTATGTTCACACATTCACTAAATCTATATGATTTATTTATTTGCAAATGTATGAAGCATTTTGACTTAGCATGGGCCATTGTCAGATATGTCACTTAATGTTCCAACTTATCACATAATTAAAAACAAAATTATTAATTTTCAGTGCCTGCTTAGTTGGTTCTGTGCTGTATAGCCAAAAGGAATTTACAGACTCAACTGTGAATATTGGCAAGGACTCTGCATGTGTCAGAGTTCAGAATCAGATATTAAATTACATATAAATGACATCTATTTTTTATAGATATAAATATAAATTCACAAACATGTAACAGACACAGAACATAGTAGACAAATATTATGTTGGACAGTGTCCATAATCTGAGACCTATTTTAAATGTGCAGCATCAGTTTCTGTCATCAGGTGTGGGGGCAGAATCCTACCCAGTTGAGCCCATTATAAGGAGTTAGTGTTGATCATTGAACAGTATGCAGTCCACTAATCAAGCCAAGCTCCTTCTAATGGGCCCAACTGAGTAGGGTCGCCCCATGTTGATGGAAATGGATCTAGTTTCAGAAAAACTTATTGTGAATGTGCTCCATTGGACACTGTCCAGCATAATATTCATAAAATGAACAGACTATTGTCATGAACTCTAAAGTTTGGAGAATCACAAAACATCAGTGTAACACAATACACAATTCATTTTGAAACTACACCCTGAAGAAAATAATTTAAACTTGTGAAAAATTATGTATATAAATTTTGTCATAATGAATGATCAGTTCATTGATGATGACAATATAGTTATGCACTAATTGCTCAAAATTAAGCAGGTTTCTATATCTCACCAGCAAGGAATGACATAGTGTCATTAGAGGAGAAATTCTTCTATAATTGATACAGAAATAAATAGATTTTAACAGACATTAATCAGGAAAAACATAAGAAAACTAAATAAATAAGAATTAAATTAAAGAAACTTCAGATGACAAATACATTTCTGACCTCCAGAATGTATTATTCGAGAAATGTAGTTTTCATTTTAATTTCTGCTCTCTGCTTCCCTGTGTGTGTGCGCTATTCTAAATATAAACATTTTGTGTTTATAAACTTTTCCGAAATTATAGAAAACTCTTAGATGATATATAGTAAAGCATAACTGAAGAACAATTGGTGGAAATGAGAAGTAGCATTATTAATTTTGTTATTAGTGTTAATACTAAACAATGAACATGATGACATGCCATGTCAAATGTGCAAGATATTCATGGTATATAAAACGTGTTTCTAGTGAAGGCTTATTGTAATCAAAATATAATTATGAAAAAGTTAAATAGTTCCATTCAGTGTGACTAGTTAAGATTTTCTTATTTCAATTATTCACGCCCTTACATGTTTCGGTCTTTAGAGACCATCTTAAGAGAGACACCTTTACATCAATACAGTTATATACATACAATATAAATAATATACAATTGGCTGTAAAATCTTAAGTCTTTACAACTACAGCGGCTGTTCCAATACGTTAAAATATTTGTAGTTGGTTTGTTAGGATTCTATTCCAATTCATAAACCAAGCTGGTTCGTGTTGTCCCTCTTATTACGTATTTCTTTTCAACGGGGCTAAATGTGTGCCACCTTGTCGTTCTCAAGAAGAGGGTTCTTTAATGTTGTCCTGTATGTGTTTGTGGCCCGCTATGTTGTTTTGTTCTTCTCAAGAATGACAAGGTGGCACAGATTCGGCCCCCGTTAAAAGAAATAACAAGAGGGACAACACGAACCACCTTGGTTTACAAATTCCAATAGAATCCTAACAAACCAACTATAAATATTTTAAAGTATTGGAGCAGATGCTGTAGTTGTAAAGACTTAAGATTTTACAGCCAATTGTATATTATTTATATTGTATGTATATAACTGTATTGATGTAAAGGTGTCTCTCTTAAGATGGTCTCTAAAGACCGAAACATGTAAGGGCGTGAATAATTGAAATAAGAAAATCTTAACTAGTCACACTGAACGGAACTATTTAACTTTCTCATAATATTAGTGTGGTGGACCAGAATGAAACAAATAAAATAAAAAAATATATAATTACTTTATATTTCTACATTTCATAACAGAGACAGCAACTCTTGCAGTATAATCTGTGAATATCAGACAGCTTTTGCGAATGATTAACATATTTATGATTCCAATTCAAATTATTTCTGAGGTAACCCTAATGTTTAATGGTTTTTTAAGAATGGGACACATTTCAAATATGCAAATTTGTTCATGGTAACATGGAAGGACAAGTACTTTTGAGTGAGCAGACTTCTCCTTTTGTCACAAGTCATGTTTATTTTTTGATACATTTGAAAAATAAATGTATATATGGACTGAATGACAGAGAATCAGAGTCTGACTGAATCTGCCACACTGTAGCTTCAGCAATATTTAGTTCATATTAGGATAGACGGGATGTCCAGTGACTGTACATCATTACTTGAGGAATGTCGTATGAACATGGATCCAGTTTTCCATTGTTAACCAGTTATGTGTATTTGAAATTTAAGCTGATTTTAACACATATAATTAAGCTATATTGAAAAAATGTTAATATATAAATACAGTTTAAGTTCAAAGAGACCACCTTCAGTTTGGATGTACATTCAGACTCATTTTACCCATGTAACCTTACATAGAACACCAGGGTCATTCATGAATTGTACAGCTTCAAAAATGTCAGTAAAGTAGTTTCTCTCTCCTGTTTATTTTTCAGTCATACCTCATGTTTTCCACTCTGGAAGAGTGAAGTCCAGTGAGCGCTGGCCAATTCTATGGCTCACTATGGCTAATCCGTTGGCTAGAAATTGCTGATGAAAGTGTTATGTCCCATGTCCACTGAAATGTGGGGTTGCCCCATTCTGCTTAAAGGACATACGTAATTGTGTTTGCAGAGGAACATTCTCTAATAGGGCTAGCAGGCCATTTTGTAAAAAGAAAACCGTTGTGTAACGTTAACCTGTTAGGCATTCCTATAAAACATATGTTTCAGTGAGAAGTTCCCTAATAATACCACACCACAGATTTACAAAAAAATTATTTTGTATGCTGCTTATTGCTGTTCCTCATAGATTCATATAAGCCCATAGAGAGGACTTTATGGTATTGTCAATTCCTTCATTGGTTAACTGCTTCTCATCAGTAAATAAAATGTAATAATGCAAGAGGGGGGTGTGTCTCAAACTAACAGCAAAATTCCAGTTGCCTACACATGTCTCCAGGTTCAAGATAATGAACTCGCTGGATATGATCAGATACAGCCGTTCATTGTGTAATGCTTGCCAAACTCTAATATGCACAACATGGAGACAGGAAGAAATTCTTTTAGTACTAACATTTGGACTGCTCTGTGCCATTTGAATGTATTTTTCCTTTTCCACATTCTGGCATTCTGAATGTTTAACACATAACACACTTGGAAGTGAGCCAATTTGCATGAGCTGTTGATGAGTACCACTAGATATATATTGATTTGAGATTCTTTGTTGAAAATTGTTACCAGTATGCAACTCCAACACTTGTGCTCTCATTACAGAAAACATATATAAAGTGTATGTCTGCATGTTCTTAATTTGAAATTGTAAACTGCGTGTTTACAGCCACTTTCAGTAAAGTCTGTTGCATCACACATACATAACCTGACTGCACTGCATGCTAGCTGGAGCACTGCTAGTGAGTAGCCTTCTGTTTGAACACATCTGTGCCTGCTTGCATACGTACATTAACAGTGCAGCAAGAAATATCCATAGCTCCCTGGCCACTGAGAATCAGACTCATGTTTATAGGGCATTTCTGATTGAGAATGATCTCAGAAATAAAATCCTGACATATTGACATGAAGTCTGACTGTACACCTAATGGCCTTCGAGATAAATGGTTTTTGTGTCTTTTTTGTCCTCTCAGTATTGTGAAGAGCACAATTAAGCCATTCATTTATGTCCTTAGTTAAATTTCCAGGTGTCTCTCTAATCTGTGGTGTAGATATGCATTTATTGCAAATATAACTCTATTAACAGGTAATTCATTCTAAAGATACTGTGTATATTGGCCGCGCCATGGCTCAAGCGGTTAGTCGCTGGCTTCCCACTGCAGTGGCCCGGGTTTGATCCCCGGTCTGGTCAAATGGGATTTGTGGTGGATAAAGTGGCGCTGGGGCAGGTTTTCTCCAAGTACTTCGGTTTCCCCTGCCAATTTTCATTCCACCAATTGATCCACAGTCACCCTCACCTATCATCTTAGGGCTGGTACAATAGGCCAGAAGTGGCCGCAGTACAAGGGACTTAGTCTCACCCCACTAGCAATAAAAATAAATACTGTGTATATTTTGGCACTATGTAGGTTGAATTACTGACAGTATTGTTAAGTATATTACAAATAAATACTATATTGGAGTCATAAATTCATCTTTGAGAATGCTGTTCAACAGAAGAGACATTTGATATTCTCACATTGGTGACTGAAGGTTGCTGTTATCTGGAATATGATGTCATGTTGTACAGCAGATAGGTACCAACATGGAAGAACATATTGCCTCCATCTTTATGGTAGAAGATTAAGGCAACACCTATCACAAGAATGTGCCCATGTATCTACCCGACTACCTGTGTCACATCCTAGACTCACCAGTCTTAAGCAGACAAAATACTACACTGAAAAATCGAGTCAGTGGAAGAGATAATACATTGCATACAAATTGAGAGTCAATGGAAGAGGCAGTTAATTGCATAAATAATATTTCCATGATTTGTATTTTAAATACAAAACATTAAGATAATTTTTGAATACTGTAAATATCATAAACTATATTTCATTTCAGGCATTCGTTTTGAGAGAGTAAATTATTTTTACAGATCTTCGCTTATGCTCTTATACCAGATTTCATCAAAATTTTGTAAGCAGTTTGGGAGAGGAAACTTGTAGATCAGCAAATAGACATGACTTTGACACATGTGTCCAGTTGATATGTTTAGTGTAGTTGTAATAGCAACAATAATAACAAATTTGTATGTCATGCTCAAACATATACACATATATCTTAATTGGAACTCATTGTTCACAAAAGTAAATGATCTTGACCATGGTAATAGACTTTCAGCTGTAACTTTGGTTAATCTGGTTTGCTATCCATATATTATTTGTATTTAGCCGTAAGAATTCATTATTTTACTAAAGAAGAATAACTATTACAGAAAAATGGACTGTAAAGAAGAGACTTATGGAGCTGTATTATTTATTCAAACACTTGTAGTTGAATTAAATTGGGAGAAAATATTTATTATAAAGCTTTTGCTCATCTACTGTCTGACAGGTTAAAACTGAAAGACATTTATAACATATTGTTTTCTCTTGTAAATACTGTAGTTATGTAGTCTAGTCCAATTTGCCACCATATTGCTCACTAAGCAGAAGTTAACATTTTCAACATTCCAATAGTATCACTGTGATTGAAATTCCTTGAATTCAATCTAAAATAATCTCTGTTCCATTGGATTTATTAATATGTCATTTTTACCTGGAAGACAGATACATGTTTAAAGCAATAATTTAATTGTCTATAAATGTCATATGGTACAGCTTTATCATCAACACACAACTGTAGTTGTATGCAAGGGCAGCCTGTTGAGATCCTGGTGTACCTGAGCAGTCTTCTTAAATCTGCCTGATTAGATATTGATATTGAATGACACTTGTTGGAATGGTTTATATTCCTTTTTAATTAAACCTTCACAAGTATAAAAAACATAATTTCTCTTAACATGAAATAACTTTCTCTTGTGGCAAGAACCCTCATGACTGTATGTATTTATTCCTTACTTTGTCGTGATTTTAAGATGTCTTTAACAGAATGATTACCAAAGTTCTTCTAGTGAAAGATCTTAGGGGGCCAGAGAAGAAAGTCATCCTAGGCATCTGTTCTGACACTGCAACAGGTGGCAGTAATGTCACTAAAAAGTCACACACTCAAAGTGGCAAGTCTTGTTTGTAAGTGATCCAGCAGAATATAGAAACTGTAGAAAATGTTATGTTAAAATAGTGCAGTTTGCTGTTAATATATCTTGAATGTAACCGAAGTATGTGCTAAGCATTCCAATGTTAAAAATAAAAGAAATTATCAGTATGGATTTCAGACCAGCTGCAATATGGCCCTGGCATCGACTCAGCCTCTGACAGAAATGAATACCAGGAATCTTCCTAGGGGTAAAGGGTGGCTGGTCCCTAGGGCTGGCAACCTTACCGCCATCTGTGAGCTGACTGTCTAGAAAATTTGGGACCCTCAATGTCTGACAACACCATGGGCCTTCATGGCCTCTTACAGGGATAGTTTTTT